CCCCCCCCCCCCCTTTGCCGCAGGTGAAAATTTAAATTTTTTATTTCTACATATCTGGGGCCTCTGAGTGTTTTATTGTTCCCAGAATCGTCAGTAGATACGGATTCAACGTTCACTTGACGTACACTCGAATTCTTCACAAACTCCTCGAATTCCCTAGAATTTTCTAGAAACTGCGCGAATCACGCATGAAAAAATTCACTATAAAACCTTGCAAATTCGCAAGAAAATTCTATTGGAATTCTATACACTGATAGAACAAATTAGTTATTGTTAACGAATGGATTTTGGTTGGAGGTTAGGGTCTGTTCGGTCTCACCAAATGTTCATTCGTTAATAGTTAATGAATTTATATTTGAGGAGTCTCGTTTGACTTGACTTTCGCCATTCAAGTGAACCATTCGTTGACTATTAGCGAATATTCATTTGGTCATATTCAACTCTACCATTCGTTAATAGTTAACGAATCTCGTTTGGAATAAATAAATCATTCGATCAGTGTAGGAATTCTATGGGGCTTCTAGAAGATTTCGATTGGAATTCTATTGCATCGAAAAATTCTACTTGTTTTTTATGCTGATTCTATTGCATATTTGATAGAAAAAAGTCAAAGTAGTTTGAATTTCTGTTCGAATTTTCCTCTTGAGATTTTTTCTATCAGAATTATTGGGCGCAAATTTTCTAAATTTTTTCCGCTGGATTTTGTTTTGTTTTGCATTACAGAATCCGAGTGTAAAAACTTAGAAAATTGATGCCCAAGCAGTTGTATAGAAAAAATCTCAAGAGAAAAGTTCAGACAGAAATTCGAAATTTATTAACTGTTTCTTATCGAATATCCAATAGAATCAGCGCAAAAAACAAGAAGAACTTTCAATACAATTCCAATAGATACTCAATAGGTTCAATAGAATTCCTATAGGATTCCAATAGAATCTTCTAGCGAATTCGCTAGGTTTTCTATTAAATACTTTCATACGTGATTCCTTCGAATTTTCTCGAAAAACAGGTAGAATTTTCTAATCGATTATAATAATTGATCAACACATGTAATTATTTTCTGAATAAATTGAGAATGAAAGTAAACAGACGCTTGAATTTCATCCTCCGAATTCGTCAGCCCAAAAATCTACAGAAATTTCGTATAAATCGGTTACCGTTCAAGATTCTCGAAATTTTCCCTGAAACTTCGTATGGAATTTCCCATCACTCTTCACCTAGCGCACACATAATTACCAATTCCAATCCAATATTATGTTTAACATACGAATTGTAATCGATCGATCAACAGAATGGGTATGGGTGTTCATGCGGCGGGTACAGCAGCAGGATGGGGCCAGGGTTTACCCGGTGGACCTCAGTTACCACCTCACCATGCAACGACAGTGACGGCGCCTCCTGGTGTACAAACTGCCCCACCACCCCCACCACCACCAGCGCAAATGATGGCCTATCCTATGCAACAATTCCAGGTAATATCATGACCCCTCATTCTCATCATCGTGCTTGGTTTGCTTGGCTCTATGCATAGATTGCTCTTGTATTGTAAACATAATTCTTCAACACGGAGAGAAATGGTCAGTAAAAATTACGGAACTCACAATTCGCTCACCGATTACGGAATTGAATCAGAAAATTTAAGTGACGGTATCATAATTTTTCGCAGGAGATTCAGATAAAAATTACGCAACGCTCTGGAAAAATTCCATGGCACACGGAGAGAAATTTTCTATAAAAATTCTAGTACGAGTACCGGAAAAAATTACAATTCACCGTCTGTGAAAAATTCTAGTGCTGTTAAGGTAAAATTTTTTGGTATTTCTGGTAAAATTCCTGGGGATTTCTGTGAAATTTTCACAGAAGTACTGGGAAAAATTCACGTTTTCCTCATTAAAATTTCCAGTGCCGGCACTGGATTTTTTTCCTGGCCGTCACTTTGCGTCTCTTTTCCTGTGCTAGCACTAGAATTTTTCTAAAAAATTTCTCTCCGTGCAGTTCCGTAAAATTCCCTACAACCACATTTCGCTCCGGAATTACGGAAAAGGTACGTAATTTTTATTGAATATTTGTCTCCGTGAACGGTTGAGATGCATAAAATCGTGCAGACAAAAACGATAAGGACGAATCAATGCTTGCTTAAGATGTTTTCCGTTTTCTTAAGACTTCTAAACTTTTTCACCTAGAGGATGAAATAATTCGAATTGATGGATAATCGATTCTTTTTGGGTTTGAAAAAACTTTCATTGAAAAATCAAGTCCATTCGATAGGGAATTTAATGGATTTTTTTTATTCTATTCATTTTTCGTAGATTCTATTGAAAAATATTTTCAATAGAAGTTTTTTCAGATGAAAACGTTCAATAGAAAATAGTGAATAGAAAAAGAAACTACATTTTGATTTTTCAAGGGAATGAATATCCCAAGTTTTTTGCTCGATATTTTTAACGAGAGAAGTTAGAAAAACAGTTTTTAAAAAATCTAGGAAACTTATGCTGATGAATTACTATTGAAGAAATCTCAATAGAATGAGTTGCATTAAAAAATCAGAATTTGTAACTTTTTTACGCACACTATTTTGTATTGAACATTTCTATTCAATAAAGCGCACAAAAACTCATAGAATGTTCAGTAGAGGCCACTAGGAATCGAATAGGATTCTCCGGTGAATGTACCTGGTTTTTCTATGAAATATTCTTGTACGTGCCTAAACATAGTTATTTGAACCACTCTGCAGAAATGGATAAAATGTTCTCGAAAAGGCGTCAAATACGCTAAAAATAGAGTTGTAACTATTGAATAGAAAAACAACACTACCTTCTGATTTTTTCAAGTAATGAATTCGGTTCAAATTCTTTCTACGGAAATTCCAAGGCTTAAATTTTCCAAGTTATATTTACAATTTTTAACGAAAGAAGAGATAAAAAAAAGCAAAAAACAATAGAATTTTCCGATGAATGTGCCTGATTTATCTACGAAATATTCCCTAACATGCCTAAATCTGGTTATTTCAACCCCTGTACAGAAATGCATAAAATCCCCTCAAAAAGTGGTGAAATTCGCTTAAAAAAGTGTTGATTTCCGTATCGTCTCCCCCATCCACACGAAACACATTTCCACCCCCACACCAATCATTACCCAAGTGATCCTCCACGAAAACACCGGAAGACGTAAAGAATTCCGCGAATAAAATTTCTCCACCTCTCTCGACTTAAGAAATTGCCTTCCTTTATCACCTTCTCAGTCCTCATACCCAGGAATTATTCCGCTATTCTGGACCCAATATACGTTGTCCCAACAATAAGCCTGCACTTCTCTCTGTACAACTAATTCTGATTAACTCTATTGAATGTACAAGCTAGTTCGCCTGAATGTGTCCCTGCACGCAGCAACAAAAGCATGCAATAATCATCTCAAGGACTCACTCCCAGTCGAATTGTTATGCACGGTATTGGCCGGTGTTATGGAAAAGCAGTTGGAATTGTCAACGAGAAGCTTCGACTTTAGCGGAAGGAAACCTAATGGCGGGG